ATTAGCCTACATGAAAGAGTTTCAGCGATTAGTGTTGATAACATTGACGCCAACAAAAATATGTCAAGTGACCTGATTGGTGTGGACTGTGATTATTAAACGTTTCTTTCTAACAATTTGGGCAACTTTTACCCAACGAGTTGACGACAATATTGTTGCGTTGGTTTCTCGATTACCTGCTACCACGGAGCCATATGATAAATAATATAAAAGTTAACATTAATGTTTATGATCCTTGAAACTAAAAAATAATACAAAATAAGAGTTTCCTTACCCAGACCTTCACCTTTTAAAATAAAATAAATAAATAAATTCCTAAAGCTGGGCAAGGCCTTCACACCTGCGTCCCGACCTTGAGTGCAACGTGCAGGTATGTGGAAAACACTCACAATGATAAAGTAGATGTTTCCTACGCTTATTGATGTCCTAGTTTCCTACTATTGCTACGGTGATTATTATGTATCATGTACAGGAGGACGGCCAAAACACTGCATCAGAGTTAAATGTTTATAAAAGACGCTACAAGTCAACAAGGAATTCACAGATGTGTTCCTGGGAGCGTCAGATGGTCTGTTATTGTTATGTACAGTAAATGTAGAAATTAGGAACACATATTGAAATTTATCAAGAGTTGTGTGTGTGTTAATTTAATAGGCTACGCCATAGAGAGAGACATAAGCAAACGCTGTTTCATAAAGTTTCCAAGTTAGTTTCATTGTGAAAGTAATTACCGTTTAGACTTTTTCAGTTTGCCGTGAAAGGATAAATACAAAGAATATTGCCTCGTAAAAAAAATAATAGGTTATAAGACAGAGGTACGAGTATGTCGGTCTGTGGTCATGCAGTGATGTTAAATTCATGGATTTTCGCCACGCTCATCTTTGCTTGTGAAACCTATTGGCTTTATATAGTTTATAACTTTGTCCAAACTTATTATATTTACTCTGTACTTTTTTTGTTCGCATTTTGTCACTCTTTCTTTTTACCTGCGTTCAAGAAACTCCTCCACACCAGGTGGTCTTTATTGAGTCGCTCTCCGAATTAACTTCACGGTTTGGCTGCTAAAAGGTCAATTGTGAGAATTCAAAACACCATAATATCTTGCCATACATCTACCTGATTGCGTAAATACTTTGTAAACATTTCCTGTGCGACCAAAATTTTCTGGAATTACCTGTACCATTCACATAATTTAATTCTAGGTTAAAACTTCCTGTTAGGTAATTACATAAAAATAGTATTTGTTCATATTGTAGCATACACTGATCCTTTAAAATTATGTGAATTAGATTTGCAATATAACTCATGATTTGCTCGATGAGGGACCAAAAGTGAACACATAGAAAACAATAAATGCTGCTTTAAATTCAGTCTATCGTATTCAAACTGGAAATTCGTAAACATGATTTGATTTTCTACATATAATATTGGTTATTTACTTTTCCTCGTGTTTTTTATTTTTTTCATTATTTAATTTTTGTCTCAGTTGAACAGCAGTTTTACTCTTTGGGTCTCGTTTTCCTTGAGCTGAAGATCTCTCAGAGTCCACACTGTGGTACTGTAGATAATGAAGGCCAGCCAATACCTATACTGTACCTTGAAACTCACCTACCACCTCTTCTTTTCTCTTATTCTTCTTCAACTCCTCCTTCCTTCTCCTTCATCACCTCTTCCATTCCCTAAATGCTGTCAAGTCAACTTGGTAGGATTACCTGGTAGGCAGCTATCAAACAGGGGTACTACCGCCTGGGAAGGAAGCATAATGTGATGCCCAATAGTGAACCCTGCTGCCGTATGGCATCACAAAAGTGACAAAGTCCCAGGTTGGTGATCTGACTCTGCCTCATTTACACAAATTTTCAGGGTCTCAATTGTTTCTCGTATTATTGACAACACAACATTTATATATCGTTTCTCACTTTTGATCTTTCATTTTGTATTTCTTTATGGTTCTTTATTATTATTATTATTGTTATTATTATTATTATTATTACATTTTCGCTCCCCATGCCCCGATGTGGGTCAGTGACCTGTGCCTATTCGCCTGATCGTCGGCTAAATAAGAATGACGCTATTGCTTATTCCCCAATCATTAGGTAAGATAACTGATATTGCTTTTCTCGCCAGGCTCTCCACAGCTAGGCTTCATATTTCACACATAATAACAGGTATTTATTACGTTACTTCATATTTCGTTTAAACCTAGCATGTATGTCAATATATCAAGCGATAATTTATATATCTTATCTAAAAAATATTTAGATACAATCCTGTAGATAACAATAAATCTATACGTGAGTAATACT